GGTCCCACGAAGCCCGCCAAGAGGAGCCGGAGGAACTCTTCACTGAGGCCCTGGGAGGCAAGCGAAAGAGCATCTGGTCTGTGTCACGTTGTTCGCTTCCCACGTTGCTCTGCCCACGGTTGCCTCCGCCGAGGCCTCCAAGAAAGCTTCCCGAAGGCCCCCGAGGGTCTCGTCAAGCCCCGAAGGCCGGCCTCGAGGCGACCCGCCGTCGGCCCGAGCAGAGCCCCCTAAGAGCTAGAAGACGGCCCGAGGCCGCCCAAGAGAGCTCCAAGACAGCTCCATGGGACCCGCCCGAAGGGCCCCCCAGGGTGGCTCCTGCCCAGCCGCTCCGGCGGAGCTCACCGGGAACCATCGCGCCCCGGACGGCTCCAACACTCGCAGGGGACCCCACGGGCCCCCCCAAAAAGGCCTACGAGATGGCCCCAAGAGGCCCCGAGGAGGCCACAGGAAGGCTCCCAACGAGCCTCCGAGAATCCTCGGAGTAGCATGGCGAAGGGCCCAACAATATGCTGTTGTGGCTACCGTCCTTGTGAGTATTGTGGTCGGTGGATCTTCTCATGGGGCCACGAAGCGCGTGAAGGGTGTGTCGAAATGTGGCGGGACCGCCATGCGGGAGCTGCGACTGGGGCCGTAGGTGGAGCTCCTTATGGGGCCACGAAACGTATGAGGGGTGCGCGGAAACGGGAGTGGAACCGCATGCGGGCGCTGCCACTGGAGCCTTCGGTGGAGCTGCCTTTGGAGCCACGCAACGTCCGAAATGGGGGGTGGAACTGCATGCGGGCGCTGCCACTGGGGCCTTTGGGGGAGCTCCTTGTGGGGCCACGAAACGTGCAAAGGATTCGCCGAAATGGCAGGTGAAACCATATGCGGGCGCTGCCACTGGGGCCCTCGGTGGAGCTCCCATGGGGCCACGCAACGTGTGAGGGGTGCACCGACATGGGGGGTGGAACTGCATGCGGGCGCTGCCACTGGGACCTGCGGTGGAGCTCCGCATGAGGCCACGAAGCGTGTGAGGGATGTGCCGAAATAGAAGGTGGAACTGCATGCGGGCTCTTCTCCTGGGGCCGTAGGTGGAGCTCCCTATGGAGCCACAACACATGTGAGAGGTGTGCCGAAATGAAAACATGGAACCGCATGCGGGCGCTGCCAGTGGGGCCTTCGGTGGAGCCCCCTTTGGGGCCATGAAAAGTGTGAGGGGCCCACTGAAATGGGAGCGGAACCGTTGCGGGCGCTGCCACTGGGGCCTTCGGGGGAGCTCCTTATGGGTCCACGCACCGTGTGCAGGGTGCACCGATGGGGGGTAGAATTGCATGCGGGCGCTGCCACTGGGGCCCTCGGTGGAGCTCCCAATGGGGCCACGAAAAATGCAAGGGGTGCACCAAAATGGGGGGTGGAACCGTATGCGGGCGCTTCCACTGGGGCCTTCATTAATACAGGATGACGACAAGGGGGAGCGATTCAAAAAATCCGCCGGCCCCCTTGCGGGGCCATCAGGCTGCGAGGATTAAGGTTGCTGCTCCCTGCACCAGTTCCAGTTTCCAGTTTCCATTTTTACAGTACTGCTTTCTGCTTCCTACTGTAAATTGTTACTGTCCGCGCAAGGGGGGGTAGCCGAAAAGGGCCCTGGTTAGCGTCCCCCGGGAGGGTTCTCAGAATTTCTGGGGGGGCGTGGGACGCGCAAAAATACTATAGCGTCGTGCCCCCGAAACCAGAATCCTTCGCAAATTACGCTGTGTTCGCGCCCCCGAGGCCACGATCCCTTGTAAATTACACCACATTCGCGTCTCCGAGGCCACGATCCCTAGTAATTTACACCACACTTGCGTCTCCGAGGTCACGATCCTTTGTAAATTACTCCACATTCGCGCCCTCGAGGCCACGATCCTTTTGTAATTTCCGCCACATTCGCGCCCCCGAAGCCACGATCCCATGTAATCGATATAATTGTCGCGCCCCCGGGGCCACGATCCCTAGTGAATTACGACACATTCGCGCCCCTGACGCCACGATCCCTCGTGAATTACGCAGCGGGCGCGCCCCCGAGGCCACGAATCCGCCTTGCGGAGGCTGCCGAAAAGGCGCTCCCCCTCCCCCAAGCAAAAAGACTGTGATTTTCTGTATAGGGATACGTGCTCCGCTGGTATTTTTTGCCCCCTCCCCCTTTCTGGAAAATTCGGCGGTGGGTTCCACATTCACCCCCCCAGGCCACGATCCCTCGTAAATTACGCCGCATTTGCGCCCCCGAGGCCCCGATCCCGAGTGAATTACACCACATTCGCGCCACCGAGGCAACGATCCCTCATAAATTACGCCGCTGTCGCGCTCCCCAGGCCACGATCCCAGGTAAATTACGCCACATTCGCGTCCCCGAGGCCGCGATCCCTTGTACATTACACCAAATTCGCGCGCACCCCCCACGCTACGAATCCACCTCGCGGAAGCTGCCCAAAGGCGCCACTCCTTCTCCAGAGCAGAAAAATAACCCTCCCAGAGATTGCCTGAAGCAATCCCGAGCCGTTCCCAGAGCGCTTCCAGTGAACAACTGGAGGGAAATGCCAAGAAGGCAACAAAGCGTTCAACAACAACTTCAACATCTCAATATGTTTTGCTCATCGCCAGCCGCCCTAGCATGACGTCCCCGAATGTGATCAAGACGGCGCCCGAACATCCCAATATAGCTCTGATGTATCCCATTCTGATAGAGAGGGGGCCAGCGGCAGGGGGCGAGGCCCTTACGGATAGTTTCTTTGATTTCTATACGACTTTTCAACGGGAGGATGACGATTCAAAATATGTCTATTACACGTCGGCTTCGAATATTGCGTCGAATACTAATTTCACGTCGTCGTCAAATGTTACGTTAAATTACCATTCGACGTCGATTTCAAATTTTACGTCAAATACCAAGTCTACCTCGGCTTCAAACTTTTACGTCAAATACTCGTTCCACGTCGGCTTCAGACATTATGTCTAATGCTCATTTGACGTCGGATTCAAATGCTACGTTAAATGCACAATCCACGTCGAATTCAAGTAACAAAAACTCAATTTAAATTTTGAGCTGTCCGGGCGCGCGCCCGAGGACGGCAGGGGGGGAACGATTACAGGACAGTTTCCCAGCCCGCGGCCGGTTTTTTCTAATCATCCTGCGGGGCGCCGCCGACACAACACGACCCACGGTCATTTATTAATCGTCATCCTACATTAGAGTTCCCTACGGTGCCACGACGCGTGGGAAGGGTGCACCGAAATGGTGTTCGACCGCGTCTGGGCGCTGCTACTGGGGCCTTCGGTGGAGCTCCCTATCGGGCCAGAAAACATGTGAGGGGTGTGCTCAAATGGATGGTGGAACTGCATGCGGGCGCTGCCACTGGGGACCTCGGTAGAGCTCCCTATACAGCCACGAACAGTGTGAGGGGTGCACCGAGATGGCGGATGGAACCGCATGCGGGCGCTGCCACTGGGGCCTTCGATGGAGCTCCCAATGGACAACAAAACGTGTGAGGGGCGTGCCGACATGGAAGGTGGAACCGCGTGAGGGCGCTGCCACTGCGGCTTTCGGTGGAGCCCCCTTTTGAGCCATGAAACGTGTGAGGAGTCCACCGACATGGGAGTGGAACCGCATATGGGCGCTGCCAATGGGGCCTTCGGTGGAGCCCCAATGTGGCCACGCAACGTGTGAGGGGTGCACCGAAATGGGCGCTGGAACTGCATGCGGGCTCTGCCACTGAGGCCCTCGGCGGATCTCCCTATGGTCCACGAAACGTGTGAGGGGTGCACCGACATGGGGGGTGTAACTACATGTGGGCGCTGCCAATGAGACCTGCGGCGGAGCTCCCTATGGGGCCACGCACCGTGTGAGGGGTGTGCCGAAATGGAAGGCGGAACTGCATGCGGGCTCTTCTCCTGGGACCGTAGGTGGAGCTCCCTATGAAAAGTGGAACCGCATGCGGGCGATGCCACTGGGGCCTTCGGTGGAGCCCCCTTTGGAGCCATGAAACGTGTGAGGGGGGTACCGACATAGGGGTGGGTCCGCATGCGGGCGCTGCCATTGGAGGCTTCGGTGCGGTGGAGCTCCTGATGGGGCCACGAAACGTGTGATGGGTGCACCGAAGTGGGGGGGTGTAGCTGCATGCGGCCGCCGCCACTGTGGCCTTCGGTGGAACTCTGTATAAAAAAACACGAAACGTGTGAGGGGTGTGCCGAAATTGGGGGTGGAATCGCATGCGGGCGCTGCCACTGTGGCCCTCGGTGGAGCTCCTTGTGGGACCACGAAGCGTGTGAGGGGTGTGCCGAACTGGAGGGTGAAACCGCGTGCGGGCGCTATTAGGGAGATGGTGACGGCGAGCATGATGACGATGATGGCGATGATGACGGCGATGATGATGATGATGATGATGATGATGATGATGATGATGATGATGATGATGATGATGATGATGGTGATGATGGTGATGATGATGATGTCTGTGATGGTGATGGTGATGGTGATGGTGATGGTGATGGTGATGGTGATGGTGATGGTGATGATAATGATGATGATGATGATGGTGAAAATGCTCATGGTGATGGTTATGATGATGGTGGTGGTGATGATGATGCTGTTGCTGATGCTGATGCTGCTGACGACAACAACGACGATGATGATGATGATGGTGATGGTGATGGTAATGGTGATGATGAGAATGTTGATGCTGATGCTGATGCTGCTGATGATGAGGATGATGATGATGCTGGTGATATTAATGATGCTAATGATGATGCTGATGATGATGCTGTTGATGATGATGACGATGACGATGACGATGACGATGACGATGATGATGATGATGATGATGATGATGATGATGATGATGATGATGATGATGGTGACGATGATGGTGGTGACAATAGGAGTCAGGAATGAGAAGTGGACGCGGGGTGCTGTCTCTTCAAACGGAGGACCCAACACCACAGGATGGTTGGGAAAAACATGAGCCAACGTACCAATACTTCAACGTCACCGCTTCGCTTTGCGAAAGCACCATGGCACGACTTCCCAAATTGCCCCAATGTGGTTCTACCGAGCCCTTCGGCAGAGCTCGGAAGTCAATATGTGGAAACCTTAGGACCCCACAGGCCCCCTCCCCGAAAAGGCGATGCGACTTGTGTCTTGAGAGGGTGCAGCAACGGCATGCAGGTGATCGTGCTGGGGAGATTGACAGAATGAGAACTCACTACCTAACTAAGACAAAATAACTGACCTACTAACTAAGATCCCCGGTCGCAGGACGGGGAGGAAAACCCGAGGCAAAGCTCGCTGCTGTTCACGCTGCGCCGCCCGCTCGCAGCCCAGCCTGGGCAGCTTCGACACCGCTGTCCTTACCCAGGCCCTGGGCCGGTAGATACCCTGCCGCATTGGCGATGGAGTCGTCGGCGCCATGAGCCATGAGGAAGTCTGCGAGCTGCACGAAGCCGTACTGGATGCAATAGTGGAGCGCCGTGTTGCCGCTGTTGTTCTGCGCGTCGAGGCGGACGCCATGCTTGACCAGCAGCTTGACGATCCTCCGGTTATTGTTCTGACACGCGACGTGCAACAATGTATTCCCCATCGGGTCCGTAACCCCTAAGACATCAGTGTCCTGCTGCATCAATGACTCGATTGGTTCATAGCGGTTGTGCCGTACAAAAGAGAAAGCCACCGCGTTGTTACGCTCGAACTCATCGAAATTGTCTTCATCCTCAATCATGTTGCCACTTTCGTCAAACTCTGGAGCCTTCGGCGGCATCGCCATGTTCGG